ACCCCTCCGATTTGCCCCGCTTCATTCCTCCCCTCCTGCTACCTTCTTCTTCTTCTTTTCTTTTCTTAACATTCCTAGAGCTATTTTTATTTAAAGCGGTTCTTAGCCTGAGTTTACGGGGTAACGTCTGTTAGTTTTATACTATGTTAGTAAACGGAGCTCCGTCGATGGTGGAGTCAGGAATGCAATAGGTCAGCTACATTCTCGGTGTCACACATGCTGTCACGAGAGAATACACACACATGTACATACAGACGTGAAGAGCCTGCTCTTTGCAGACGTATAAAAGTTACTTTGGGGGGAAAAAGAAGAGTAACCTTTGAATGTGCAGAAAGGAAAGGACTAAAAGTTTTCTAGTTAATGATGATAGTAATCGCATCTAATTCGGTGAATTACAAAGCACAGGTGAGAAGGGCCAGGCTAACCCAGTGGAGTTTCCAAGGCAATTGGGAAGGTTCTAGGAGGGAGATGTGTGTGAACACATGGACCAAAAAACGGATGTATAGTGGAAGCAGTTGTATACGTAGCTATCGATATAACGTGTGTACTCATGCTCACATACTGTGAGTTGTGGAGGGAGTTGGTAGGGGTTTTAATGGCATAATTTAAATGAGAGCAAGATTAGAAAAAACTCGATGGCTTCCCGTAGCCTTTTGGATAAAGGCAGATTCCTCAGAGCGGCTGCACCCGTCTGGCCCTCAGTGCAGCTTGCCATGCCTGCCGCTGCCCGTTCTTGGTCCCCTGCTCCAGCCCCCTGAACACCCACCACCCTCCAGCTCCACCACCCTCTTCGGGGGCTGCCATCTGTATGCACACAGTGTTCCTTCCGGAAGGCACTTCGTCCTCCTCGCCTACACCTCCCCATCCTGTGGGGCTGAGCTCCGGGACCACCTGTTTCCCGGGCAGCAGCCTTCCCCGTGCCGGGATCCTGCCTCATGATGCCATGCCTCAGTTAGAACACTCCCTCGCACTGTCGTGTGTCTGTTCATGGGCTCGTCCCCTTGGCATACCGTAAGTCCCCTCAACTCAGTCTAACTCCACGCTGTCCACTTACATAGGCACAAATTGGCTTTAGGAGCACGAGGCCCAAGAGAAATCGGCTTTAGGAGCATGGGGCCTCCCACCACCCCAAGCTGCCAGGCGAGGTGCTTTGAAGATGAGATGAGATGGGGCAGGACCACCTGGAGGACCCAAGGCTTCTGGGAGATGCCTAAGGGACCCCCGTTCCTACCATAAGTTCCCCCTTTCTCTCTCCTTGAGGTGGAAGGTGGGTGCAGACAGAGGACAGAGGACACTGAATTAAACAATCACTGGAGCCCTTGGGGCCCCACCTGCTCCTTGGCAGCTGCTGAGAAGGTTCCAGAATTCCTTCCACCCTCAGCACCTCTGAGCAGCACACTTCGGGGATCATTAACAGAAGAAAACATTCGTTAGAGGCGACCCTGAGCCTGCAGATGTTACTTGAGTGCCCCGGGGACCCATCCTTTTACTCATCCCGTGGTTAAAATGAATCGCCCTCCAACCAGATGAGAATGGAAAGTTTGGGTTGAACTAACTGCACATGTTAGGATCTGGGGGGCCCCGATCCAGCAGTGGGGGGACCAGGAACACTGCTGGGGAGGACGGGGAGCTTTTGTCTTTCTGTCTGCTCCCATTTCACTGCCGGAAACATTTTTGTTTCCTGGGCTTATTCCCAGCACTATTGTGATCATTCCTTGCTGCCCATAGAATTCAAGTAGGCATGAGCTTGGTACTTACCATTTACTTAAAAGATCAAATCCAGAACCCAAGAGAAATCATCCATTTTGAAGGAGCTGATCTCCAATCACTAGAAAACTTTTTCCACGGAGCAGCATTTGGGAAGTGAGAGACCACACAGATCACAGCACAGGGAGCGATGACTTGGAAATCATTTCAGTGCCTGCATAAACAAATGATCTTGATTACCTGGATATTTGTAACCTCTCTCCCTTCTGAGTTCTGCTTCATGAATCACAGCGTACCTGACCCAGCCTGGGTCAGCTTGACAAGAGGACGTGGTGTTTCTAGACGCTCCGAGAGTTCTGGCTTTGCAATCCTGAAAAAGAACCAAAACATCTTTTTCTCCCATTTTATGGAGGCTTTGCAAGTATATTCCTGGCCTTCAGTTATTTGTGGCATGGTTACTAAATTAATAGAACATTTTCAAGGACTTGGGATTTGTGGGTAGAGATTCTTTTAAAATAATTTACGAGAACTGAAGCAGAACAAAGCAGCACATCTTTTGAGTGAACTAGCATGAGTGTTGGAAAGTCTTTTAAGACAAATGCCAAAAAAAAAAAAAAATGTGGTAGTGTTATTCATAGCCGTGGCTGCCAAATACCGTGAGATCCTGGATTTTAGGAAACAGGCTCTGTTCCCTCCCCGCCCCCTATCTTTCCTTTTGAAAAATGTCAAACCCAAGAATAGAATAATGAACTTTGACCTAGCTGCAACGCCAGAAATGGTTTGTAAGGGCTTGTTTTCTTTTGCCACACTTCCAACCACAAACACACACACGTGTGCTCACACACACGCATGCACAGAATCAACAACTAACATGTTAATGTTATGAAAGTGCTGGTTGTGTATTTTCATTGCCTGGCATTTTGTCTGGAAATAAATCACACCGAGCACATCACTTATATTTAAAATAATAACGAGATGCCTTTTATCCACAGTCTAATCTACCTGATGACGTCTTTGACCACGGAAAGGCAGCTGAGGAGAAAACGCCCCTGTCTCTCAGCGTCAGCGACCTGCCCAACGGGGACTGTGCCCTCACCCCCCACCCCACCGGCTCTCCGTCCACCACGGGCTCAGCAAAACCAGAAATTACCATCACCCCCTCAGAGCTCAGCCACAGCAACCTGGCCTCCCAGAACGAGGGCACGGAGGACTCCGGCTCAGCATCTTCCAGAAGCTCCTCCGGAGGAGGCCCAGAGCCAGAGCCACAGGTGAAGGAGGACACAGACGGGCCCCGGACCCCTGAGGCGGGCCGAGCGTCTGCAGGGGCCGGCCCAGCGCACCTGTTCCTGGAGAAGGATGTGGCGGAGGCTCTCCTGCGAGAGTCTGACGAGGCCTCCGAGCTCAAGCCCGTGGAGCTGGACACGTTCGAAGGAAACATCACGAAGCAGCTGGTCAAGAGGCTCACTTCGGCCGAGGTGCCGGTGGCCACGGAGAGGTTGCTCTTTGAGGGCTCTGTCAGTGGAGAGTCCGAAGGCTGTAGATCCTTCCTCGATGGAAGCTTGGAGGATGCGTTCAGTGGGCTATTCCTTGCATTAGAACCACATAAAGAGCAGTACAAAGAGTTTCAGGATCTGAACCAAGAAGTCATGCGTTTGGATGACATCCTAAAAGTAAGTACCATTTTAGGGAAATTGGATTAGGTTTGGAGAGAGGTGTCTGGAGCCAACATCCTCTTGAAAGTTGTGTATCTTTGTGTTTTATCCTGTTTCATCACAGAACCGATAATCGTCATTTGAATGGCACTGAGTTTTAAACACCAGCAGCGCATGTTCATTTTTATTTCCCTGACAGCAGATCAGCTTCACTAAGATGATTAGGAGTTAAATCACCAGCCCTGAGGAATGTCTGAGCTCCTCCAGCCCCAGAGTTAGTCACTGCAATCCCAAATGGGAAAGGGAGGCATTTTGAGGATCATAATCTCACTGAGATGCGACTGGATAGAGTCCCTTCCTGACCGAAGTCAAGAGTCAGGCAACCCCGATGTGGGAGCCACAGGCCCATCTCCCCACCCGGCCTCCCCCTGCATCCCCCGCCCCGCCTCCCCCTGCATCCCCCTTCTCTGGTCTGGTCCCGACCCGTGAGTCGGAACCTGCGATTACTCATGCACGAATCACCATCTCCTGTGCTCTGGAAGTCAGGGACCCCCAAGGCCAGCAGAGCTATCCTTCTCAACCCTGCTCCTGGTCAGACAGCTCAGGGTGGACCGGGTGGGAGGGGAGAGTGAGAGGGATGCTTTCCTCTCAGGCAGAGGGAGGACCTAAGAATGAGATTATGGTTGCTACACCAGGGCAGATATGTTGTCACGGGGCATATGGATCAAACCTTTTAAAACACCGCGCAGGAAGACAGAAGCTGAATTTTGTCCCGAATCCCACTGCCACCTCTTGTGTTCTTGGCTTTGCGACTCTGGTATTGCTCTACAGAAGAGAAATTGGATCCTTTTCCATGAAAGAGCTGTTCTTTGGTGACCTTTCCTATCAAATGGGCTTGAAAATAAGGTGCTGGGGCAAGCTGAGATTCAGCCCACAGAAGGCTGTCTCATCCCCTTGTATGACTGTTCGTAAAACATGGTCTTTTTAGTGGCACATGGAAACACATTTCCAGGGCTTTGCTGACTGTCTTACCCTTCTCGGTGGTGCTTACCTACCTCCGAGGGGGGTTGGTCCCCAGGGCAGATGAGACTTCCTGCCCCAACTCTCCAGGTCCTCCAGTGCTCATGACAGACTAATCCAGCTGCAAGTACACCCTCTGAGAAGCAGGCCAGGGCTCTCTGAATCTGCTTTCTGGAAAACACTTCTCAGAAGCCCCCGCTCAGGACTCAGGCATGGAGGCTGCTTGTCTAATTCTCCAGTGAAAACATCTTCTACTCCCTCAACAAACTGTTGTGTTCAGAGTTGACCAGCTTTGCTTAGTGGGCAAAAGGTGTGAAATTTAAAGACACACTGACCCCCACCACAGCAAACGCCTTAGAGAAAGCGAGTGGGGAGAGCAGCTCCCGTTTCTAGGCATCTAGATGGCTGGTAAGTAGCTGGATCCACCAGCGAACACTGAGCAAGCCATCTGTGAGTCTTATAAGCACCTGGTGGTCACAGATTTCTTTCCACAGTATTATTTCAATCTGCTGTTGTTCCAACACGATCCTGCCTCTAAAATCCTTAAGTGTCCATCCCTTTGTTATGATAGATATTTGAACACATCCATCCTGCGTGAGGTCAAGTTCGGCAGATAGCTAGTTAAGAAAGAAGACCCTAGGACTAGGTTGCGTCTGGACTGGCTCCTTCTCACTCTCTGTGATTGAAAACAGCATTCGAGTTTAGGTCTGGGGCAAGTGGCTGTGGATCCAGCCGGAATTAAAGCATCTGCTAGACAAAGCTTTCTCTTTTTCCCCCCTTCACATTCCCAGGATGCTAAGCCTCTTGAGGATCAGAAACTAAATGATGCTGCCTCTGGGACGGAGATCACTGAGGGTGAATGAAACAACTCTGATTTAAGAGACCAAAAGACGGTTTCCCCTGTGCTTTTCCACCTTGAGTCTCAGAGACAGATCCCCGCCAGGCACTGCCTGCCTTATGTTACGAAGTGAGCAAGGAGGGCCACCTAACTGGATGGAGGACCTTTGGTTCTTCTGCCTTGCAGGACTGGTCCCGTTCAATGCGCCCCAGCGTCTGTCCTCTTGAATACTTGGAAGGAGGTGTTTCCATCCCTGTGCCCTTGGCAGCTGATGTTGTTCTGTTTGTCATGCTTCTGTCTGTGTCCGGCAGACCCCGGAGTGGGTGTGCTCACATAATCCCAGGGCCCAGTCAGGGAAGCGGCGGAACTTGTCCCTGCAGAGGTAAAGCCATAGAGGACGCGGGGCTCCTTCCTGCGCCGCCCATGCCCTTCCTTTTCTCCTCGACGCACAGAGCCAATTACATGCCATGAATGTAAAATTAATACTGAAGTCTACTTACGTAGGGAGTATGAGTTGGGTGAGTGGGAGTCGTTTTCTCTTTCTGGGGTTGGTTTTGTTAATCCTTTAGAACAGGTTCCTTGGGCAGCCAGCTTCTGTCTCAGGACAGTGCAGACATGCCCACATAACCTTATGGACTGGTTAGCATTTGGCATTGACCCCATGACTCTTTAGATTTGTCTGCTGGTTGTATTTTCTTTGGGGTTGAGCACTAGGCAGAGGGAGGGCTCGAGCAGTTCTGTTTCCCAGGGCTCTCTGGGCTGTCGTATTCCCTCAACGTTTCATTATAAAACTTTCAGGCAGAAATAGAGAGAATCCTATAATGCCTCCCCATGTGCCCATGCCCCCCACCCCCGGCTTCCACAGTGTCAACTCATGGTCAGTCTTGTTTTGTCTGTTCTTCTCCCTGCTTCTTTCCCTCCAGATGATTTTGGAACAAACCCCAGATACTGTGTCATTTTATCCATCATTGTACTTTTTTTTTTAAATATGAAGATTTTAAATGCATTTTTTTTTAACGCCAAGCTCAATAAAAAAATAAAAGTTTGAAAAAAACCCAGAAAGTGTCACATCTCAAGTTGAATGTTGTGTGCCACGTTTTCTGCTTCTGGATATGTTGATCTTCTCCCTGATGCCTTCTGCCTTTGCAGTGCAAGCCAGCCGGAAGCCGCAGCAGGTCTTCCAGTTTAAGTCTTACAGTTGAAAGTGCTTTAGAAAGCTTTGATTTCCTGAACACCTCTGATTTTGACGAGGAGGAGGAGGATGGTGATGAGGTTTGTAATGTTGGTGGAGGCGCGGACTCAGTATTTTCAGACACTGAGACTGAGAAAAATAGGTAAGTGTAAAGTTAGTGTGTGCTTACACCTCTAAGATCTGTACAGTGGTTCTTTGTCACTATCGGTCGGCACCTGGGCACCTATCCGGGAGGAGAACTCCCCACAGGACTGGCCATTGCCTTTTGGTTCCCCATTATTGTTGAAGACAATTTTTGAATATCATTAACCTCTTTTGTGCAGTTCAAGGAAAAATGAATTGCTTTTCTTCCTCATAAATGAAGGGGACATGTTTGTGTGAGTGTGTGTGTGTGTGTGTGTGTGTGTGTGCGCGCCTACATCTTGGAGGGTTTGGGGTCTACAACCTGACCCCAGTGTAATTAATTCTAAATTAACTAGATATGCTATGTTTCCGGAGAACTCTTACTGGATGATCCATTTGTACTTGGTTCTCGTCCGATTTCTAATCTCTTCATTTTGTTATGCTCTGCTTTTTCCACTCCTTTACCTCTTGCCCCCTTTGGCAAAGTAGTTGTAGATCAAGCTCATCAGTGCCCATATCCAAGCCAGGTTCAGCCCCGGCCACCTATTTCTCTTAGAACGAGGGATGCCCGACTGATCACTGAGAACTGATTGCTTTGTTCTCCAGTCTACCAGGTGGAGAATGCGCCTTCTCTGGGGCAGGCAGGGGTGAGGCAGCAGGAAGGGACAATGAAGGTGAAATACTATCACCTTCTCCATCAGGCTTTCTTGGACAGCCAGAACTTGTGTTTGGAGCTAGAGTCTGGGGTCTATTTTGTGACTTCAGCTAAAGCAAAACAAGCACAGTTGAGCATACTCACCTTCATTAACTGTTGGGGTGAGACCCACACATACTTTCCCGAAGGAAAGGGTGGATCTCCACCATCTTTACCTTTGACATGTTATGCAAACAAGTTTTCAAGTCACAGGGAGCTCCAGCTGTCCCATCTTCACCAACCTCTCTGTGGGTGATGTTCCGGTAACATTTTTGAGGGCTTTCTTGTCCCTAGAGGGCTCATTCTTCCAAAATCAGGAAACAAAAATGTGAGAAACAGAATTTTTTTTTTAAAGACTTTATTTATTTGAGAGAGAGAGAGAACACATGAGAGGGGATAGGGTCAGAGGACGAAGCAGACTCCCTGCCGAGCAGGGAGCCCGATGCGGGACTCGATCCAGGGACTCCAGGATCATGACCTGAGCCGAAGGCAGTTGCTTAACCAACTGAGCCACCCAGGCGCCCGTGAGAAACAGAATTTATCCATTGAGCAAGCTGAGGGCATGGCAAACAAAATGTAATGAATGGAAGGTTGACGTTATGCTCCTACATTCTGTGCTGAGATTTTTCTAACCTGATCGAACTTGTGAAATGCTTCTAAACCAAAAATCCGTCTACTCGTTAGCTTAAGCTGTTACATGATATGTCAAAGTCAGACATCGGTCTAAACTCTTACTCTTGTTGCCGTCAGAAGCATCTTCACAACAAAAACATCGTGGGTTTTGTACATTTTATAGACCATTGATATTGAATTGTCTAAAATGCTCGATTTTATGTCATCAGCGGGATTAGGGGAAATTGTAGAAATTGTGTGTGTGTTTTAAACATGTGCGGATGGCCGGGACAGAGAGTGCTTTCCCCTTGGAGGCAACTGGGGGTTGGAGTAAAGCGCTCAAGGCCTCTAAGCTCGGGTGCATGATCTTCTTAAATCACGGGCTGGGGGCATGAGCCCAGGAGCCACCAGCTGCCTGGCCCCCCGGCTGTGTAACAGGACACGGTGGTGACTATCTCTGCCAGGCAGCCCTCCCTCGTGTGAAATGAGACTACTCCCTCTTTCCCACACAGATTAATTTTCAGAACAAAATTGGATAATAGAGGCAGCAGAAAATGTAAGTGCCCATCGTGATACAGCTTGAGACAGCTCCACGGTGAGGCTAAAACCGGGCAGGAGAGGCAGAACCAGGCACCGCCTGGAAGGATTCAAATGCCCCCTTGTAGCCTTTGTCTGGGGCAGAACATCATGTCTCCTGTTGGCAGCTTTCCTTTTTTCCTTTTCTTCAAGTAGCAATTGATCTGAGGCCAAGAAAACGCCTTGACATTGCTTCTTAATGGTATTGCTCTTGGGGCCACCACAAATATAGAGGATGGCTTAATCCCAGAAAATTTGGCAAAGCACCCCCATCCACAGAGCAAGAAAGTGTAGCAAGTGCAAAATGAGAGCCTGTCTCAAAGACTCCTTGGTGTGCCGGCTTCACAAACGGCTCATTGTGCTTGGGCGGCAAACAGAGAACTCTGGAAGCAGTCTGTTTGCGTGATCTTTTAACAAGGCAAATTGGTGGCCAGGCTGAACCAAGAAGTAGCTTTTGAAAGGTATCTCGGTTTTTCAAGGCAGGCTTAGTGGAAGCCTCCTTTTCGGTGGGCACCATGGGCGGGGGGCCTTCCCTCATTGTGTTGAGGTGACCTGGGGTTTCCGTGATGAAAGAATCTAACATCTCGCCCCCCTTCCTGGTTCAGCACTTACAGATCAGTACACCCCGAAGCCAGGGGGCACCTCAGCGAAGCGCTGACGGAAGACACGGGAGTTGGGACTAGTGTGGCCGGAAGCCCCCTGCCGCTGACCACAGGCAATGAGAGTCTGGACATTGCCATTGTCGGGCACCTTCAATACTGCACCCAGCTCGTTCAGGTGGGTGACCGTGTTGGCTTTAGAGCCCAGGGTGTGGGTGCACAAGCAGGTGGGCTTCCTTTCTCAGTTATGCCCAAGAAAGGAAAATTCAGGAATAAGACAACAGTCCTCCTTCGAGTTGGGCCAACTCAAACATTCTCGTGGGCGTGGCCATCCTCCCTGGACCCAGGGGTTTTCTGTCTTAAAACCTAGCTCTCCACACTTTATTCTTTTTTTCAGATTTTATTTATTTGAGAGAGAGGGAGAGAGAGCACAGCAGGGGGAGCGGCAGAGGGAGAGGGAGAAGCAGGCTTCCCCGCAGAGCAGGGAGCCTGACATGGGGCTCGATCCAGGACCCCGGGACCCTGACCTGAGCCAAAGGCAGACGCTTAACCAACTGAGCCACCCAGGTGCCCCCTAGCTCTCCACACTTTAAAAGGTCATAGGTTAGCACTTGATCTCAAATCATTTGATAAAAGAGAAATATGACTAAGGAAAAAAAAATTGTATTCTGCCACCTGCAAATGAATGGACTTTGAAAGCAGGAGTTACGAGCGTCTGTTAACGTGCAGTTGTCCCCTGACTTAGCTTTCTACCACCTGGACAGCTAAAGGCAAAATGCTGCAGGATATAACCCGGGCTTTCCAGATCTTGAATAAATACCTATCAGCAATGAGAACGAATACTTTCATAGGCCATTATCATCACCAGTTAGCTCTCATCCTGGGACACTGGGGGCTTATTTTTCTTTTCATTTCAGGTTGTTTACCAGTTAAGATTTTGCAACAGTGGAGCAAATATTTCAAAATTCTTTTGTTGCAGGAAGTGCTTTAGCTTCTTGAACAAAACGTTTTCCCTGAGCATCTACTTAAATGCTTCCTCCTTGCCTGGTTGCCTGTCTGCTCCAGCCTACTTGCATGTGTGGGGAACAGGATGAGAATGGGAAAGCAAACGTAATGGTCTTCGGGGGGATTGGCCAGGCAGGAAGGGTGTCAAAGAAGGAGGAATCATGCTCCTAAGAGCAGGGGACCCACTAGAAGACAAGAGGCAGGGTAAGGAGGAAGGGGTCGCAGAGAGGCCAGAAGTGGGTTAATGTGCTTCTTCCATAATACATTTGTGAGGAGATGTAGAATATGCTTCTCCTCCATGAATAAAGAACCGCAAAGTCACCTCAGACGCTGTGGGAAACTGGTTGGCAATTAGGACTCTTGCACTAACTTGGCCAACGTCCCAGTTGATCTCTTCTGTTGACTGTCGAATTTGTAAGCCATTTACTGACAATCTGGCAGGAGGTGCAATTTTTTTTTTTTCAGGCCAAAATGGGCAAGGATTGTGGTTTACTTTATAGCTCTTCTCTATTCCCCAACTACTTGAATGAGACAGTTTTCACAGTTCTTTGTCCTTGCTGAGCCTGATTCTGGGCTGAGCCAGCGACCCATTTGCCTTTTAGAGGGAAAGCCATTATTTTGTGAAACGTAAGAGAATTCTCTTCCATGAAGGAATGGATGTTTTCTCTCAAAGACGAATTGGCAAGCAATATTCAGTGCCATGTTCTTGTCTGTACTCAGGCCATGGTTATAACAAGTCAGCTCTTCTGTGGGGAAGATCAGCACCAGCAAAACAAAAGAGGTAGATATAAAGATGTAGAATGAAGGAGTAAGGATTAGAAACTTAATTTCTAACTCACATCCACTGCTGAATCGGTGAGTTAATGTCTTCATTTGGTATATAATTGCAAAGAGATAAAAATGGGCATTCCATAAGGATCATAATAGCTATAACCATGCCCCAAGTCAGTTCATTTCTACTGTATTTACTTACATGAAAGGCATCAGTACATAATTGCTACACTAGGCTTCTGAATTTGAAAATCCTATTTGTGTAGTCTAGAGGATTTCGTACAGGAAGACGCTACAGGCTGCATCCTGCATCCATGCCTACCACGTGATTGGGACAGGTCTCCGAGGGACAAAGAAAGGTCGAGAACGTTCAGGCAGCAACTGACTTCTGTCCTCATGCCCTTGACTCTTGTGACCTGCACATAGGTGAAATCACTTGCTATTTATGTGGCCTTGGGCATGTTTCTTGATCTCCCTGGCCTCAGTTTCCTCAGCAGTAAAATGGAATATCAAGGGGCATCTGGGTGGCTCCGTCTGACTCTTGGTTTCGGCTCAGGTCGTGATCCCAGAATCATGAGATTGAGCCCTGCTCAGCTCTGAGTCTGCTTGGGATATTCTCTCTCCTCTTCCCTCTGCCCCTCTCCCTGCTCGGGCACTCTCTAGATAAATAAGTAAGTAAGTAAGTAAGTAAATAAATAAATAAATAAATAAATAAAATCTTTGAAATGGACTATCAACAGTACCGACCTCACAGGGTGACTGTGAGAAATAGCATGAGCTAATACATGGGCTCAGACCAGTGCATGGTACATAAAAAGCACTCGTTAATTAGAACGAGGTAGTCTTGATTATAATCATGATTATTCTACAACACGTTCTTAATTTTCAGCTTGAAAATAAGGAATGAAATCCACGCTGTGAAAAATTACTACTTGTAAAATAAATCTTTTTTTCTGTTAGCACACAGATAAGCAGCCTAAATATGCCTTCCAAATCTCAAAGAGGATTTACAGAGTCACAATACATAAAAGCAAAGGCAACGTTATAATAACCTTGCAGCTCTATTATTGAGAACGTTCCAGAATCTATTTGGGCGCGAAAAAAAACGTTTAAAGCAACAAAAACATGGGTGTGATTTCATCAGATGCTGTCATCGGCATGGAATGAGGAACATTCTCAAACTGGAACCAAACCCCCGAATGGGTTGAGTTAGCCTCACCGCCGAGTTAGGACAGAGGAGGTTGGGCCCGGAAACCCCGGTCAACAACAACCTAACTGACTCACTGGTTCTGTTTGTCTCCTCAGCAAATTGTTTTCTCAAGCAAAACCCCATTCGTGGCGAGCAATCTCTTAGAGAAGCTTTCTAGGCAAATCCAGGTGGTGGAGAAACTGTCAGCAGTCAGCCATGAGAACATAGGGAACATGAGTTCCGTCATTGAAGGTAAGCAAGCTGCGCGTCACACCGCCGTCCACGCAGACGGCGGCCACTGGCCCACACTCCTTGGCCACATTCATCCTTGCTGTGTCAGGACGGCAGGAGCCCACGCTCGGGCCCCAACGTGGAGGAATAGCTGCACACTGGAAGACACCAGGGTCTTCCAGGTGAGGTCTGATGAAGCCTCGAACAGAAGTCCCTATAGGTTCTTCTCGTACACTTGTGCCCCCTCTTCGGCTCCTCCCGGGAGCGGGGGACCTTGGCACGTGGCTGAGAGGCAGGAAAAGGGACCGGACACTCAGGGTGCGAGTGACCCATGTCCTCCCCGCTCCCAGGTGCCTCCTCGTGATCACAAGCACACACAGGAGAAACGCCGACCCTGTGTGGCCTGGCACGATGCTCTTCATGAGTTCAGCCCGGGAGCCCCCTGGGCAGCGTGTCAGACTCCTCGAGCCACCTCCCGCTCTGTGTCATCCCCTGCAGAAAAACCGCCTGAGGTGTCCTTCTCTGGGCCTATACGGTGTTTTGTTGTCGAGTTACCAGAGAGGAGATGGTGGGAGCATCTTCCAAGCGTAGAGCTACTGTGTTTTCTCTCACTAAAAGCAAACAGCTTTGCTTTTGCTGCATTTTCTTGGCTGCCCAGGCTAGAGGAGTTCCTTAATAATAACGTCTTTGCCCTTTGGAAAATCTGTCACGTACAGAGGAATCTTGTAGTTCCGATTCAACACCACAATCTTTAGGGGACGCCTGGCTGGCTCGCCTGGCAGTCGGTGGAGCCCGCGACTCTGGATCTCGGGGTCGTGCATTCAAGCCCCACATCGGGTGTAGAGCCTACTTAAAAAAAAAAAAATTAAAAACTATAGTCTTAAGAAGAAAAGAGAGAGAGAGAGAGAAGCCCTGGTGCCGGCCCCGCCCCCGCGCAGGTACATCTCTTCATCTGCTTCATTCAGAAGGTGCGTCGTGGGGTGGGGGCTGCTCTTCTCTTCCAGCCATCCCAGAATTTCACAAAAAGCTGTCTTTGCTGTCCTTCTGGACCAAGTGCTGCAGCCCAGTGGCCGTCTACCACAGCTCGGCCGACCGAGTGATGAAGCAGCTAGAAGCTGGCTTCGCCAGAACCATCAACAGAGAATACCCAGGACTTGCAGACCCAGGTACGGGGCAGTGGTGGGGAGGAAGGCGTCTCTGCCGTTGACTTGCAGGTGGGCACCGGCGGGTTCCCGCCCCCCTTCCCCTGGGACAGGCTGACCCTGCAGAGGAAGCCTCGTCTACTCAGTGCCATCAAAGGAAAGAAAGACTTGAACCTGTTTTAATTCAGAGTATCAGCAGTGACTTCTAAAAGCACTGTATTTCTGTATGGCCATTTAGGTGGCTGTAGACTTTTTTCATTAAAATGTCACCAAAACAAGAGTGTCACGGAGGATAACCACTTGGGAAAAACTGTTTGGCATTTTCTCCTAAAGCTAAATATACCCCTACCCTATGACCCAGCGACTCCGCTCCTAAATATATCAAGGGAGATACATGCTTATACTCACAAAAAAGGACACGCCTAAAAAAAGGTTCATAGCAGCTTTCTTCACAAAAGCTGAAAATAAGAAACAACTCAAATGCCTACCAACAAGAAAATGAATGTATTCTGTGTGTATGTATGTATATAGAATGTGTATATATATATATAGTATTATGTATATGTATATATTGTATATATATATATAGTAACATTCATACAATAAGGTATTACACAGCAGTTTTTAAAAAGAATAATAAATTACGGGGCGCCTGGGTGGCTCAGTCGTTAAGCGGCTGCCTTCGGCTCAGGTCATGATCCCAGGGTCCTGGGATCGAGTCCCACATCGG